TTGAAATAATAAATTTGAATTTGGACATCTCGAGAACACGTAAAGTTTTTACGAAAAGGTGAAAATATGGATGTGATAAAATTTAATGACTTTTAGTGCAATTGAAAAATAAAACAAGGAAAGAGATATCACAACCACGCACCCATATATTTGTTTTATTTTTCAAAATAATTAATCATCACTCGAATCAAAATGGCACATGCTTGTGGGGTTGTGATAGGCTGTTTTGAAAAATCCTAAATACGATATGTCAGCTCAACCCTTTAATCTTCATTTATTATTAAAAATTAATAGATTTTCATTACTAGGGATTGCTATTAGAAAATTACAAAATAGGGGANTGGCCCCAAATATGTTAGAATTTTCCAACAATAACAGCCTGACATTTGGGGGTGGGGGGTGGGGTGGGTGATATATCTTACATTAATATTCCGATTTTATGATAACGAGTTACGTCCATAAACCTTTGTATAGTGGATTTAGTAAATAGCATGAAGTCGTACATGTTGTCATTTGACTGAAGTGTTATATTAGATAAAATTTATTTTACGTTAATCTCGTCTTTTACATAATTAATAGTTTATTTTTCTTGCATTGGTTGGTTTAATTTTGGTGCATTTCTAGTGAGTTTCTTGTCAAATTTTCATTGAATACGTAACTAAAACATTTTTCCTCCTCTTTTTTTTTTTCTTTTTTTTTTAACTTCGGCAATTTTTTTTTATCAAAAATGGCTAAAATTTTGGATATGGAAGTATTTTTCAACTACTTTTCTAGCTGTTAGGTTTTTAGTGTTGACAATTATATGGACAAATGACTAATTTGTAACGTGATGTAAAAGTCAAGGACCTATGGTGCAATTTGTATACATTAGGTAAGTTAGGATTTGAGTCCTTGAAGGAGTCCAGATGTCCAAGAAGATCGCATATGATAAATGGAATGCAATTAGAAGACTTAAAGAGTATCAAAGAGCCGCACACGTTATGTTCTAAATTCTCAGTCGTCACTTGTAACGCATCTTTCACATAGAAAACATTGTAGCCCTTCGAGTTAGCTTTCCAACAAAAATTTAATCATCGCAATCGAATATCGGTAGAGAAAGTTATGATAAAAATACTGAAGACTGCTCAACCATCGCTCGACCTTCGCTAGATGCTCGCTCGAGAGACCAATGCAGTAACTTTTCGCCCGAGTTTTGCCTACAGCTCGCTCGATCGACCTACCGTGCGGTCAACCCTAATTCGCGATTTTGAAGAGTTTTACACGACCCATACTACTCAAACACCTCCAACTATAAATACAAAGGTTTTGGAAGACTTTTGTAAGGTTGCTACATTGTGCCTCTCTTACATAGCATATTCCCTACATCTTTGAGAGATCCAAGAAG